GTGTGTGTGTGTGTGTGTGTGTGTGTGTGTGTGTGTGTGTCCGTGTCCGGAGGGCTTCACGGTGCGCAGGGCTCCTCTGCCCCCAGGAGCCTCTAACCAGGAAGGGTGATGAGCTTCCCAGGAGGCCTGGGGCACGGGGACGCCGTGCTCAGAGCCTGGTCCTCGGTCGTGGCTCTGCTTTGCCCGTCGTCAGTCTCCTTAATGAGGCCCTGCTCTTCCCATGAAAATGAGCGGACTGCTGTGAGCACAGCTCTCCTGCTATCAGGATGGGAAGGTCAGGTTGGTTCTTAAGACACATTTCCCCTGGTAAAGAGGCCAGGAAATTCTTAGTAGGGTCTGCTCTAGGCCTTGGTTGGCTGTCCAGCTGAAGAGAGGCCTGGAAAAGTGTGCAAGGTGTGGGAAACTGCTGGTCACCAGAAACAGTGGCCCGCTTTGGAAGCCTGCGCTGCCTTTTGGTCTGTGTCCTGCACTCTGGGGATAAAAGTACACAGTATATTAACTATCGTCATTCTCTTATTATTTTGCTATGAAATTTTTTTAATTTAAGAAAAGAATGCTCCTGGGCTGGGGATGTAGCTCAGTGGTTCCACCACCTGCCTGGTAAGTGCAAGGACTCAAGTTCGATCCCCGGTACCAAAAAAAAAAGAATGCTCCTTAGACTTGTTAAGGTGACCAAGTAACAAGAGGGTGCCATTCCAGCTGTTTGGCATCTGGCTGCCAGAACCAGGCATGTCTGCTAGCAGCCAGGCTGGTTGGAGCCAGGAGGCCCTTGAAAGCAGAGAGGGGAACCAGTCAGCAAGCTCAGCAAACCCCACACCACCTCCCAGGTGGGAGATCTGAGTGAAGCAGACTCTGTAGGAAGAAGGCTTGCGCCTGCTATTCCTCAACTCCCCACTGTCTCACTTAACATGCAGGCCTGGTGAGGCAGAAGGCCAGCAGCACTAGAGGCATGGCTCTGGGGCCTGCCCTTCTGCCCTGAACGCAGAGCGTGATCCAGGCTTCAGGGCATTGAGTCAGGGAAGACTGCGACTGTCAGTAACCAGACCCAGGCAGCACCATTTGCAGGCTGAGTGCGTTAGAGCCTGGTCCTGCAGTGCATAATGGCATCCCAATCGCGATAGGCCTCATTTCCTCACTCCTCAGTGCCCAGGGCCGTGGGCATCCTGATTGTGTGAGCTCACTTTGATGTTCACACAGTGATGAAATTGCCTGATGAGCGTTTCTCGTTAAGCGTTGTATGACTGTACACCTGTGTGTGGGGTCGGCCTGCTGGGGGACAGACCAAACCTGAACCCCTCCACGTGGACGGCATAGACGCGTCCTCTGTGAAGGCAGTGCCCTGGTGGGGTCAGAGGGTGGGGTTCGCCACCTGCCCTGGGGAAGCACAGTTTACCAGACAATAGCAAAAGCGTCAGCCATTGTGCAAGCGAGTAACAGTTGGCCGAGGTTTGTGTCCCCCTTTGGCCCACGCCCGTGGGGGAGGCTGTGTATGTAGGGTGGGTAGGACCGGGGTTTCCCGCGTGGAATGTGTCCGTGGTGAGAGGCTGCTCCTGTACCGTTTGGAGTGTGAGTCCACATGGCAGAAAGAGGCCAAGACCCTTGGCCCGAGCTCTCCTCCAACCAAGCCTGACCTGTGGCCCTGCAGTCTGGGCTCTGGAGTGACCAGCTCTGTCTGTCCCCAGGGGAGCGTGAGCCTGGGAGATGGCAGTGATGGAAGTGGCCTGCCCCGGAGGCCCTGCCTCCACAGTGGAGCAGCAGAAGGAGCTCGCCAAAGCCCAGGAGAAGACACAGGTGCTCGGGCAGAAGCTGGAGGCCGTGGGCAGGAGCCCCGTGTTCTGCGGAAAATGGGCCATCCTGAACGACGTGATCACCAAAGGCACTGCCAAGGAGGGCTCTGAGCGGGGCCTGGCCGCCGTCTCCATCATCGCCCAGCCAGAGTGTGAGCTCCGGGGGTTGTGGGCCGGGGCGGGCCAGCCTCCGGGTCCCTGAGGCAGGTCAGGGTGACCGTGCTGAGGTTCTCAGACACAGCGGGGACGGGCCTGGTGGCACACACCTGTGATCCCAGCGCTGGGAAGGCTGAAGCAGGAGGATCACCATGAGTTCAAGGCCAGCCTGGGCTACAGAGTGAATTCAGAGCCAGCCTCAGCCAGGGATGTAGCTAAGTGGTTTCGCCGCCTGCTGTGCAAGCACAAGGACCCGAGTTGGATCCCCGGTACCAAAAAAAAAAAAAAAACAAAGCCAGCCTGAACTACATAATGAGACCCTGTCTCAAAAAAAACCCACAATGGGGCTGTTGGGAAGCTGAGGCGGGAGGATCACAGTCTTGAGCTCAGGCTGGCCAACTTAGCATCCTAGCGAGACTTTGTTTCAAAATAAAAAAATTAAAGGCTGGAGATTTAGCTCAGTGGTGCCACCCCCTGCCTTGCAAGCACAGGGTCCTGAGTTCGATCCCTGTACCAAATAAATAATTAAAGGGGCTGGGGCTGTAGCTCAGTGGTAGGGCACCCCTTTCAATCCCCAGAACCACCAGACAAAGAAACTTGCGGGTCTCACTGCAGAACCAGTGTGCAGTGGGCACTAAACATGCCAAGACGGACCACAGGCATGGCAGACAGCCATGCCATGGAGACCTGAGCAGGCAAGAGCACTGTGAGGTGCAGAGCAGGAGCACCCTGTGCCCACACCTGCGGGACATGTGGGTGACGGGTTGGTGGCTGTCCCTGGGACAGGAGCTCCCAGGAGGACAGAGAGCGCCGGGTCCCCTCTCACTCCCACACACACCCCAGTCCACTCTGCCGCTAGGGGCTTCTGCAGAGAGCTGAGGGGCAGCGAGGTAGCACGTGCTCCCGTCTGCGTGTGACTGAGCTCTGCACACGGGCTGCTGTCACCTGAGCTGACATGTGAAACGTGTTCTCGCAGCCTGTCCACTGCAGTGTCACAGGAAATGAAGGGACACCCTGAACCCCTGCTTGTGGACATCCCCTTCTCTCACATTAAGCCAGAAGAGGCGAGCTCCCAATAGCGTTAAGAGTCCTGTGCCTCCTCATCTTCTGCTAACCCAGCCCTTTTGCCTTTAAGGTGAGAACAGCCAGGAGTTCAGCCCCACCTTCTCAGGAAGAATCTTCATCGCCGGCTCGAAGCAGTACAGGTGAGCGCATTGGGTGGGAAGGAGGTTTCTGCTCCTGGCAGCCGCTCACGGCTCACAGATGGCTGCTCCTGCTCCTGCTCCTGCTCCTGCGGTGTGACGAGTTACTATCATTCTTGCCTAGTTCTTGGTACAGCCCGGTTTCCATCCACAGGCAGTGCCTCATGCTGGTGTGTGGCCACCAGTGCAGGCCCAGAGGGCCACTTCCAGTGTCCTCTGCCACAGGGACACAAATGGGCAGCAGGGCCAGGCCCACCCTGCACACCTCTCACCCCAGAGATGACTTTTGGCGACTGAGCTGAACCCAGAAACAATCTCACCTCTACAGCAAGGCTGACCCTTGCAAGCAGGAGCCAGACACAGTGGCTCGAACTTGTAATCCCAGCACTGTGGTGGGAGACTGAGACAGGAGGGTGAGAAATTTGAGCCCACCCTGGGCAACTTAGTGACTTAGCGAGACCCTGAATCAAAATAAAAATAAAAGGGCCAGGGATTTAGCTCAGTGGTTCCAGCACCTGCCTCGCAAGCGCAGGGTCCCAAGTTCGATCCCTGGTACCAATAAATGAATGGATGGATGGATGGATGGATGGATGGGGCTGTAGCTGTAGCTCAGTGCAAAGGCCCTGGGTTCAATTCCTGGTACCACAAAGGGGGTAGATCTGGGGGCTTCTGCTGTGGACACAGGAAAGGCTTAGTACTGGGTCAAATTCTTTACATTGCCTGTGGCACCTCTTGGGCCAGAGAAGGGTTTCTGATGAGCCCACACTGCTGAGCTGAGCTGAGCTGGAGAAGCCTGCAGGCCAAAGTGGTCCCCACAGCTGGCTGTCCTGTGGCTAGTCCCCTCAGTCCCTGGCAGGGTAGAGCCAGGCAGAGCCATGGTGGTGACAGGGAAAGGCAGGCACCTGGCACAGACTGGCATCTGTACTGGCAGCTTCCCACATCCCCACAGCAGCCGGGGGCTCCAGGACCCCATGAGGCAGAGGACACTGACAAAATCACTCGTGTCCACAAGAGCCAAGGATACCTGTCCAGGGAAGCCCCCGGGAAGCAGCTGCCCCAGAAAGCCCGAGCCCAGGCCCCCTCCCTCGGGGACAGGCACTGAGCTGGCCATCTCCACCCTGCCTGGCAGAAATACTGTGCTCATGTTGCAAATGAGAACGCTGGTGTCCTTGGGTGTCCCTGCAGGCTCCCACGAGCACAGTCATGTGCCACAGTGCCATCCTGGTCAGCAGGACACCGTGTGTCCGATGGTGGTGGTCCCGTGAGAGGTCTCACCTAGTGACACTGTGCTGTCCCGGCTCGAGTATGAGTGCTCCGTGACAGTCACCCAACAGGGCCACCTGGCACGCCTTTCGGGATGAGCCCCTGTTGTCAAGCGATGCGTGCCCATAGTAACAAAGCGGGGTTGATGCTCACCTCTGCCTCCCCTCAGATACGGTTATGCTCCGTCTTCCTACCTCCTGGGCTCACAATGTAAACCTGGCCCTCTTTTATTTTTTTCTCGATACCGGGGATCAAACTCAGTACCTTGTGTTGCAAGGCAGGCGCAGCGCCACTGAACTGCATCCCCTGTCCCTGTCCCTCTTTTGACAGCCAGTCGGAGAGTCTCGATCAAATCCCCAACAATGTGGCCCATGCGACCGAGGGCAAAACGGCCCCCGTGTGTTGGAAGGGAAAGCGTCGCAGCAGAGCCCGGAAGAAACGGAAGAAGAAGAGCTCGAAGTCCCTAGCAGAAGCCGGAGTGGCCTTGGCCAAGCCCCTGCCCAGGACCCCCGAGCAGGAGAGCTGCACGGTCCCAGTGCAGGTGAGACCCACCACCCTGGGCCGGCCTTGGCTGGAGGGCCTAGGTCCTGACACCGTGTTTCCCTGCAGGAGGACGAGTCTCCGCTAGGTGCCCGGTACACCAGACACGGCCCCCAGTTCACCAGGCCTCTGAAGGACCCAGGCTCAGGCCACCTCTGCTTTAAGAAACTGGACGAGGGCCTGCGGCCAGTGCCGCCACGACCGGAACTCCACAAGCTGATCAGCCCTTTGCAATGTCTAAACCATGTGTGGAAACTGCACCACCCCCAGGACGCGGCCCCCCTGCCCCGTCCCGCCCGCCCCTTCCCCTACAGCAGACTGCCCCATCCCTTCCCCTTCCACCCTCTGCAGCCCTGGAAGCCTCACCCCCTGGACTCCTGCCTGGGCAAGGTGGCCTGTGCACAAGGCCAGCAGCCCCTGCCTGCCCCGGCCCTGGGCAAACCGGGCTGTGGGGACAGTCCGAAGCTGCTCCCCGGCCCGCCCCATGAGCCCACCTGCCTGGCTCATACCCGGGAGAAGTGCTCTGTGGAGGAGTACCTGACACACGCTCTGCGTGGCAGCGTGAGCTCTGGCCGGGCCCGCAGCCTGGCCACCCTGGCCAAGACCTGGGCGGGCGGCCCCGGGCCCCAGAGGCCTAGCCCTGAAACCGAGGACAACGAGGGGGTGCTGCTTAGTGAGGTAACTAATCCCTCGGCTCCTGCCCCTGTGCCTGCACCACTAGCACCTAGGCCAGGAGCCACAGCACGGCCCTCCAAGCCCACAGACCTTGGGGTGGCTCTCCCTGTCAGCCGAGCCTGTGGCAACAAGTCAGAGGGCCACGAGGGTCCATCAGGACTGTTAGTCAGCTTTCGTTACCATGGCAAGATACCTGCAGGAATCAGCGAGCAAGGAAGGAAGGTTTTCCATGGCTCACAGTTTCAGAGGTCTCAGCCCCTGGTCCCTTGGCCCTGTTGCCTTTGACCTGTGGTGGCCCCGTACAGCGTGGTGGGAGAGCCTGGTGGAAGAGGCTGCGCACCTCACCATGAGAGGAACTGGTGCCCTTTTTCCAGGCCTCACCCCCGGGACCCGGCTCCACCCAGCCTACCTCAGAAGGGCCCACCACGCACAGCAGCTCCACAGGCTGGCAGCCAGGCCCCCGGCACAGCCCTGGAGACATCCAGGGCCCAGCCACAGCAGGGCTGGCACCATTGTGTCCTGACCTGCAGCCTCACTGCACAGACTTCCTAGCCGCTCCCGTTTTCAGTTCTTCCAGTCGGTCACCCTGCAGTGGCTGAATTGAGCATTTGTGGGAATAACGTGCCTTCTGCGAAATGAAGGAAGGAAGCTTCTCAGGCTGAGGGAGGATAAGGATCTTCCCTTCCTCACTACCTGCTTCCTTCCCTTCTCTAGTTCTTGTCCTGGATAATGTTGGAACTTGAAACAATTTTACTTAGCTTTACTTTCTAGGTTTTTTGTTTGTTTTTTTGGTTTTTTGCGATAGGTTCTCACTATGTAGTTCAAGCTGGCCTTGAACTCACTATGTACCCCATACTGGCCTCAAACTCATGGTGATCCTCCTGCCTCAGCCTTCCAGCCTGGGTCTGTTCCCTTCTAATGTTACCCATGACTCCATCCTTTCTGTTGTTCTGGTAGCTCCCAAGGTATTTTATCCACCATCAAGGTTGTTGGCAATTCCATTTCCGTCCCAGTCACACACCCAGGGGCTTTTTTGTCACCAGCACCTGCCGACTGGCCCTGCCTCGCCATGCCCTCCTGCCCCTCTCCAGCCCTGCCCCTCGGCCCCGCCTCACACCAGCAGTCCCGGCAGGGCCACTGGCTGCAGACTTTCAGCCCTGTGCCCCCCGGCCACTGACACCGCCTCTGTCTCTCTCACAACCCAGAAACTCAAGCCAGTGGATTACGAATACCGAGAAGAGGTGCACTGGGCCACCCACCAGCCCCGCCTGGGCAGAGGCTCCTTCGGAGAGGTGCACAGGATGAGGGACAAGCAGACAGGTTTCCAGTGTGCTGTCAAAAAGGTGGGCTGGGCTCTGGGGACCACTGCATTCTCTGCTCTTTCAAGGGCAGTCCTGGGTGGCCGTGGCTCTGACGTGGTGACAGCCTGAGTCAGCTGGAGTGCAGGGCAGTGTGGTCACATGCCAGCCACTGGCCTTGGTATGCATGTGCCTGAGTACCCCACTTCAGAGTCTGATCTACCCAGGCCGCTCCTGCCTCCAGGGCCTGTGGGGTCAGATCCCAAAGACAAGTCCTGGACCGGGTGTGCCTTGTGAAACCTGTGTGCACCGTGACCCTCCGAGTGGACTCAGGGTGGTTAGAGGGTGGACGCAGGGAGCTGGGAGATGCTGAGTTCAAGCCCTGCCTTCAGGCAGCACAAAGGAAAGCAGCTTGGGATTCGGACCCAGGCTCATCCCACCTACCGTGCAGCTTTGAGCCACTCTTCCAGAAGAGGAGGAGGGAAGAGGCTCGTGGTCCTGGGATTTCAGTGGTGGCGGCGGCTCCCGCCCCATGACTTGCCCAGAGCCCAGTGGGAGCTGCAGACTCCTGGACCTCTTCCCCTGCTCCTCAGGTGGAAGCCACCTTGTGCCCAGCCCAGGCTCAGCACCCCGAAGCACTTTGATGCACAATTTTCTTGGTTCATGGACAGAGTGAATAAGCTCAGAGACATTGTTTCAAGGGGCTTCTGTCAGAGACACTGATCCCCAAAAGGAATCAAGGGCCAAGTTGCCAGCCCACACAGAGCAGGTACCACCAGCGCCATTGGGGCTGTGGCCAGGTGTGAGTCAGCCGCTCCTGGTCTGTGCACAGCCAGGGCCTTGTGCCTCTCGGTGGGGGATTACCCAGAATTACCCAGAATTCACAGACTGTGTCCAGCGACAGCAGCACCTTCCGCCCCCACCAGCAGAGACTCGCTGAGTTCTCGTCAGCATGGACCACCCTCTTCCATAGGCCTGACCTCAGCAGCAGTTCCCCACCCAGCCAGAGAAGGCTCCGCTGCCCCTCCAGGGAGGGGTGAGAGTTGGGCACCCTATGCGCAGAGCTTAGTCACTGACTCTCAGCTGTCCCTCTGCTGAGGCCCTCAAGTCCCAGGCAACAAGGTCAACAACCCTATGCAGTGGGAAAAGCACACTCCAGTCCCATCCCCACCCCTAGGGCAGCCGGAAAGGTCCACGCACAAGGACGGACTTCCCTGCACCAGGGTGTCCACACACACCCCCACCACCTTCCTCCAGGAGCACCAGTGGAGCATAGCCTCTTCATAGCGCAGAGCTTGGGGCCGGCAGGATGTCCTGTTGGCTTTTCAGCTGGAGACCCCAAGAGAAAGACTTCCCAAGGTAAAGCACTCAACTAGAACACAGGAGGCACCTGGACCAACAGACAGGTACCAGAGCCTGGCCAGGGCCCCTCCAGTGTAGGGGCCACCAGGGGACACTCAACCCCAGTTGCTGATGCCTGCCCTCCTCAGTCTTCATTCCAGAGTACCCTCGGCCTGAGTCACCTGCTGACTGCCCACAGGAGCAGAGTTCAAGGGAGATGGGGGTTTTTAAGGCTTTCTCTGAACATAACTCTTGATTGCAAACAAATACAAGCTTGAGTCAAATGATACCATAAAAAGCAAGTTTCTGCTCTCTGATCCCACTCTGAGGTCAATGCCATTTGACTTGAATCTTTTTAGACTTTTTAGACATACATAGATGTGGTTCTTGTAAAAAGTGAGATCTACTCTAGAGATCATTCTGTGCCGCGATTTTTCATGTGATGTGTGTCGTGGACAGAGTTTCTCATTGGTTTACATACAGCCATTGGGCTTTCTAACAGCCAGTGGGTATGTCCTCCTCCCTGTCCCTGGGGAGATGCATAGGACCCCTGACATCTGGAACCCGATTGTGTGCACCGCATGTGTGGGCACACACACTTTCGATGGGCGGGAAAGGTCCACACCACTTCCCAGGCTCTCAAAGGGTCTGTGGCCTGAAGAGGGTTAAGAGCTGCTCGTTTCAGGATATCTGGCTTGAGCAGGGCCTTCTGGGATCAAGCATAGTACAGCCTTGCCCGAGCTGTCAGCAGGCACCTGTCTGCTTTGCCAGGTGCTGTGCAGGGCCTGGCAACACAGGTGGACCCACAGCACTGAGCTGAAGGAGCTGTTGTTGTAACTGAGGACAGGTGTTTACACAGCTCGGAGGTGCAGCAGCCATCAGCCCTGGACACATGACTATCGATGATGGGTTGAGGGGGACATCTACACACCCAGGCCTGTGTTACTTTCCTGTAGTTTATGTTCCTGGAGTCTTCAGTTGGTAGCATTGCTTATACCCCCTTTTCACCAATTGAATAAAGCCGATAGGGATACACAGGAAAACAAGCGGGAGTTTCAAGAGGGGGAGAGTAGTCCCCATTCGAGCATGGGGGCAAATGGAGTGAGGGAGTGGCTTGTGGATATGACAGTGGGCCGAGCGCCGTACACACACACAGATGCCCCTGTGTACACAGGCCTGAGTAACGACTAAGCCTGGAAGTTCTTCCAGGGGCACAGTGGCTGCCAGCTCCCTAGCCTCAGACCTCGTGCTGCACTGCATTCCTAGTGACCTCAGGCAAGTTAATGTCCGGGGCTCTGCTTCCTCGTCTGAAGCGGCAGTGATGAAACCACCCACAGACTGTCAGGCTGAGGCTTAGCAAATGTTAAAGCAGTGCCTGGCCTGTGTGGTGGGCCTGGAATTCAGCACTAGCTGTCGTCAGCATCCCCATCGCAGTGCAGCCTGCCCAGGGCACAGATCCTGCCGCAGGCCACGTGCCACCTGCCGCCTCAGCACCCTTCCACCTGCTGCCTGGCTGGCCCAAACCCGGCACCTGTGCCCAGTGTTTGAGACGAGCTAGGTGCTGGAACTTAGACACTGAGAAAAAGCGCTCTCTGATTTTAAAGCAAAGACCCCCATACTGTCTTGGCTCACAGGCCTTCATGTCGGTTTTTCACAGCCAACCAAGTCTCTAGCAGCTCCATTCATTAAACAGACCAAGCTGGGCCAGGGATGTAGCTCAGTGGTGCCACCGCCTGCCTTGCATCACAAGGTCCCAAGTTCGATCCCTGGTACCAAAAAAAACCAAAATAGTCCAAGCAGTCTCTTTACTCTGAACTCCATCAGCCATTTGAAAATCAAAACATATAAGTTGAAAGAAAAAAATCTCCTTCCATTCTTAAATAGAGTGTTGCCGGGGCACAGCCTTGTTAGCCATGGCTCAGCTTCTCAAGCCTTGCACTCAGACCAGACAGCACCACCTTCACCTGCTGTTCTGTGTCCCCGAAGCACCTGTGAATCAGCAGCCCCAGCACAGCGCCACGGCTCTCTAAAGATCTCCCATCTGGATGAGCACAGTGTGACTGGCGGAGCTCAACCCTAGTGGGCAGTTGACAGCATCTCCAGCAGATACCTGGCCGGAGGGGTGCTGGGGTGCCCCACCCACGCTCCAGGCAGCACAAGTGCTGTTGGTGAATTAGTCCCATCAGTGCCTGTGGGAGTTGGAAACACATTAAAGTCAAAGTTCATGTGAACATTCTCTAACCAGAGAGACATTTTCCACTGACAGGCAAAAGTCCAAAAGCCTCACCTCATCAGAGCTCCGGTTTGCCCAGTCAGCAAGTCTGCACAGCACCTGCCAGCCCCCAGCCATCTCTCCCAAGTTGTCTCTGTTGCCGCTGGTGCCCCCTGGTGATGCCAGTCCAGGCTGCAAGGACTGTACAGAAGTCCGGGTGATCGGCTGCTCAGCCCTGGCCAGAGAATGTGAGCAAGCACTTCCTAAATGCCCACCAGTGGTCAGCGTGGCGCCGGCTAGCACCCTTCCAAACACGCTACCCTGGGGCAGATGCCACTGTCCCCACCATTTGCGTATGGCAACGCATTGGAAGGGACACATGCAGCCTTATTTTAAATGGCCAAGCCAGGATCCAACCCCAAGATGTGTGTATCCAAGGCCTACTTCCCCTGCCATGTCAAGCTGCTGGTCCTTACAGAAAGCAGCAGGTGTCTCCAGCCTGCCAGTCCACAGTGGGAGCGACCCAGGCAAAGCCTCCCCAGTAGCTATGTTTATGCCCTGATGCTGGGGAAACAGCTGCAGGCAGAGTAAATGTAAAGTCAGACCTGTCTGGACATTTTAGTCCTCTGGGAAAGAGGTAATTTTAAGAAGAGCTAAGTACCGGCAGGGCTGCTGAAGGCCAGTGCTGAGGGCACCTGACAGATGGGAGAACCTGCTTCTGAGGAGCTGTGGGTGCCGATCTGCACAGCACCCTGGGCTGGGAAAGGAGATGCTGCACTGGGCACCTGCAGGCAGCAGCGGGCCAGGATGCTGTGAGGACCGTGGGGTGTGCGACTGTGCACCCATGGTCAGCACTCTAGAATCTCAAGTATGAGCGTTGTCCTGGCACCCAGACAGCAGCACCCAGCCCCATGCGGCCTGGGCATTATCCCGGGAGCATCTGCAGCTCTGCCTATGGAGCACTGGGGTCCTAACAGTATGGTGGCCACCCAGCCAGCCCCTCACCCTGGCTCAAGCCACCTCTGGGCCCTTTCAGGTGCGGATCGAGGTGTTTCGGGCAGAAGAGCTGACGGCATGTGCAGGACTGAGCTCGCCCCAAATCATCCCTCTGTATGGCGCAGTAAGGGAAGGTCCTTGGGTCAACATCTTCATGGAGCTGCTGGAAGGTAATGATCCAGTGCCACTCGTTCTCCTCACAGTCTTGACAAGGACGATCTTGCTCTCCGGCCAGTCCACACTCGCCCTCTGGAAAAGCCTGCTTTCCTCCATCTGCCCTCGCCCTGCCATTGGCTTGTGTGGCAGCTGGGCAGGCCCCAGGAACAGCCTGCCTGTGTCTCCTAGGTGGCTCCCTGGGCCAGCTCATAAAGCAGATGGGCTGTCTACCAGAGGACCGAGCCCTCTTCTACCTGGCCCAGGCGTTAGAGGGGCTGGAGTACCTGCATGCCCGAAGGGTTCTGCACGGAGACGTCAAAGGTGAGGCTCTGGTCCCCGTGGCTCCTCCCTCGTGCCTTCCTGCCGGGATAAGTCTCCCAGCAGCAAGTCCTGATCAGGCTTCCAAGCCATGAGAAGGGAGTGCCATTCTCCAAGCTCGGCCTGGCACTGTGGTTAGACCCCTGTGGAGGGCAGGCCAGCAGAGCGAAGTGGTGAACACTGCTCCCAAGGAAGCAGCAGCTGCCTTGTAGGACCAGCCAGAAAATGGCCTCATGGAGCCCCGCTGAGCCAAAGGGGCCTGGGCCCACGTGACACTGTCCCCTCCCTCCCATGCTGGGTGCCACCTGCAGCTGACAACCTGCTCCTGTCCAGCGATGGGAACCGCGCAGCTCTCTGCGACTTCGGCCATGCTGTGTGCCTGCGACCCAGCGGCCTGGGGAAGTCCTTGCTCACAGGTAAAGTCCCACTCACTCCTGCGAACAGCAGTGGCTTTCGCTGGGCATCAGCTGTGCCTTGTGTGCCTTTGCTAGTGGAGCAGGTAGTGTGCACGCCTGACTCCCCACAGACTCCAGCCAGCTGCCAGCCCTGGCACAAGGTCTCTCTGGGCGTACGTGCAGTCATGGACTCCACACTCATTCACTCCTCAGGACTCTGCCCTAGGCCCAGGCGCTGTAGTGCCAAAAGGTCTCTTTTTAACTGCTGTTTTCCTGAATATTAAAACAATATGTCCATTCGATAATACAGTGTAAAAGGGGCCGGGGATTTAGCTCAGTGGTTCTGCTGCCTGCCTCGAAAGCGCAAGGACCCAAGTTCTATCCCCGGTACCAAAATAATAATAATAATAATAATAATAATACAGTATTGGGGCCAGGGATTTAGCTCAGTGGTTTTGCCGCCTGCTGCGCAAGCTCAAGGACCCGAGTTTGATCCCCGGTACCCAAAAAAAAAAAAAAAAAAAAAAGATAATAATAATACAGTATAAAAGGAGGAAAAAATAATTCTCACATTCCTCTTGCCCAGAAAGTTAATCATGAATATTTTATGTAATTCCATGGTTTTTTTCTGTGCCTGGTTAAGCCCGTTATAACACAACTTTATGTCCTGTTTCCTTCATGCATAGCATTAGGCATAAACTGCTTCCATTTTGACCAGAGCAAAACAGTCTTTCAGAAGTACAGTTGAGTGCCCCTAATGGGGAAATCCGAAGTGCTCCAAAATCTGCAAGTTTTTGAGCACTGATATGATATCGTGAATGGAAAATTCTATGCCTGAGTTCATGAGAGGCTGCGGTCAGAACTCAGGCACACTAAAAATTGTGTAAAATTACTGTGGGCCATGTGTTTATGCATATAACACACACATAAATGTCCTGCGGACGCCTGTCCCCAAGGCATATCATTGTATACGTGGGGTTTTTGCCAATCTGAAAGAATTTGAAATCTTGAGTATCCCGGTCCTCGGCACTTCAGCAAGGGTGTGCAGCCTGTGTCTGATACGCGTCATGTGTTGTTAAGGGGCTGTGTTGCGGTCCTGGAGTTACAAACTGACTTGCACCTGACTTCCACCATAAAATAGCACTAGTGGGTTTTTTAGTGTTTTGGCACAACCTTTTCTCATGTCTTTTGAAGAAAGTAGAGCTGAGCAAAAACTTAGAACACAAATCACTAGGAAAATTACAGTTAACATCTGCCCTCGCTCCTCCTAGTCTTTTATGCATATAATTTTTTGCTATTGGTGGGGGGTTTTTTCACTTAACTAGCATTCCCAGAACATCACAGCAGTAATTAATCTTCCTCAGCCAAATTGTCAGTGTCCAGCCCATCCCCATTAGGGTTGTGCCCCAAGGGCCAAGCCTGTGTTGTAGCTGAGACATGCTCTGCCCATTCCCCAAGTGCCTGACTCAGTTGTCCCCGTGGGCTCAACTTGGAGGCCTGCTGTCTTCATGTGAAGCTCGTCAGCTGAGAGCAGTCCAGGAGCTGCAGGAGCTGACAGCAGTGGGTCTTGGCAAACTCCTGCCCTGGCTCACAGTGCTGTTTCCGCCTCACCCCGGCCTTAGGTGACTACATCCCAGGCACAGAGACCCACATGGCCCCGGAGGTGGTGCTGGGGAAGCCCTGTGACACCAAGGTGGACATCTGGAGCAGCTGCTGCATGATGCTGCACATGCTGAATGGCTGCCATCCCTGGACCCAGTACTTCCGAGGGCCGCTCTGCCTCAAGGTCATAAATTCAAGATCCTGATTAAAATGTCTGCCACCCAAATCTGGGGGTCCAGGGAGACCCTCCCCAGCTAAGGGGTCTTCCTGCTCATGGCAGGCCGAGCTCTTTCCTGCCTGTGACCTGGGCCACCTCCAGTGGCCTCCCAAAAGGCTTTGGAACACGGGCATCTCACCACCTGGCTCCTTGTGTCCCTTTCAAGCAGGAGTGAAACCTGACCCAGACCTCCAGTCCCCGGCAGCGCCGGCCTAGCATTGGTGGGAGGGCCGGGCAGAAGGCTGTCTGCTGGGCCTTCTGGGCAGGAGGGGACAGGCTCCAGATGCTGTCTTTCGACCCCCAGATTGCCCGTGAGCCCCCACCCGTGAGGGAGATCCCAGCTTCCTGCGGCCCTCTCACTGCCCAGGCCATCCGGCAGGGCCTGAGGAAGGAGCCTGTCCAACGCGCGTCAGCCGGGGAGCTGCTGGGGAAGGTGTGTGGGGCACTGCAGCAAGGTGAGCCCCAGGCTGGCTGCTCTTCCAGGGGCGGGTGGGGGTCCCCACCTGGGATGCAGGGTGCCAGGAAGTTGGAGGTGCTGGGACCATGCGAGGGGTCGGGGGACTCAAATCCATTAGGATCAGAGAACACAGAACGAAGCCAGCACCAAGAGACACTCAACAGGGAGTCAGACCTTGGCACAGCAAGTGCTGGCGGGGCTGGGGGCAGCAGGACCCCCGGCACCTCAGACGGGAGCCAGGCCGCAGACCTGGGGCCCAGCTGCTCCCAGTGCAGGGCAGAGGGCACCCTGTGGCTGTGCATGCCGGCCTCAGGAGGTGGGCTGCAGGCAGGGTCCCTCCCCCAGGAGAGTAGAGAGGAAAGTAGGGATGGGACACCACCAACACTGAAAGCCATGCAATGTTTGCCAAGCAGCAGGGGTGGTCTGAAGCCACAGGGCTCAGGGACAGGAGGAGCCGACAGGAGGAGACCTGGAGCACAATGTGCCTGTTTAAATTAAAGACTAACCAGGGAAAGCACATTGTATGGATGCAGTGAAATCAGAAGTGACAGGTGGAACCCAGTAGAAGGTACCCTGGGGAGACAGCGGTGGCGGTCATAGCAGAGAGAGAGGCCAAGCGCAGGTGCTGCAGAAGCCCGAGCCAGAGGTGCTGTCTGGGGCTTGGGCCGTGTCGCCACCATCGTCAGCACTTTGTTTTCGCGGTGCCGGGATCCAGTCCAGGGCTTTGGCACATGTGAGGCAAGCTACTGCCACTGTGTTGTGACGTCGCCCCAGAGCCATCTTAAATCTGTCCTCGTAAGAGCATCCTCTGGAGCGGGTTCCGTAGTTTTGAGTTTGCTCCTGACCGCAGAAGGAAGGCAGGACAAAGACAGAGCACCCCACTCCGGGAGCTGCTCCTCGGGACGGCCGCGCCCACTTCCCCCCCTGTCTTCCAGTGGGAGGTCTGCAGAGCCCCTGGAGGGGAGACTGTAAGGAGCTGAGACTCCCGACAGACCAGGCCGCCCGCCGCCCAACCCCAAGTGCCCCGCTGCGGGAGTGCCCACCCCCGGAGGACGACATGGGCCTGGGCCTGTCCCCAGAGCTTCAGCCACCGCCGCCACCAGAGCCCCCAGAGCAGAACGTGTCTCCCACCCTGCATCTGAGCGAGGACGACTCTGGCCCCTGGGAACCCCTGCCTCTGTCCTCCCTGGACCCAGTCCCGGCTAGGAGCTCGGGCTCGCTGGAGCGGAGAGCAACCCTCCCTGACCTGGAGCTGCAGCAGCTGGAGATAGGTAGCACAGCCAGCTGTGCCCGCCTGAGCATCTGCCGCTCCTCTCGGCCCTCCCCTCGGGTCTGCTGCTGCTGAGCCCCACCAGCTTTCCCACCCCTCTTGCCCTCTTCCTGCAGAATTGTTTCTGAACAGCCTGTCCCAGCCTTTCTCTCTGGAGGAGCAGGAGCAGATTCTCTCGTGCCTCAGCATCGACAGCCTCTCCCTGTCAGACACCACTGAGAAGGTGGGTCAGCCTGGCCTGGGCTCTCACCTGGGCTTGGGCTGGAGTATGGGCTGTGTGCAGCGCTGGGTGGTGGGTGGTGGGTGTGGGTGGTGGGTGGGGCCTGGGCCTGGGCCCACCCCTCCCCTCCCTTCTGTGGTCCTCCCTGAAGGGGGGGGTGGCTGTGGTTGGTCAGAGTGAGACAGCACACCTGGAAACAGAAGGGGACTTAGCTCCTGGCGTAGTGGGGCACAGAATTGCTCCCACAGAATCAGCCCTTGCCCTCTGCAACGCAGGCAAGCCCAGGCCCCTTCTCTCTGAAGGAGACAAGGCCAGCAACAGTCCCCGAGCCCGGGGGCTGAGTCTGAGCTCACTCTGTTTCAGAACCCATCAAAGGCCTCTCAGAGCTCGAGGGACACCCTGAGCTCTGGCGTCCACTCATGGGGCAGCCAGGCAGAGGCTCGGAGCTCCAGCTACAGCGCGGTGCTGGCCCGGGGACGACCTGCCGACACCCCCAGCTACTTCAATGGTATAGCCCAGCAGCCTTGGGCGGCCGGACTGGGGAGTCACCAACGGTCTGTGTCTCCCGGCGGGGCGGGCAGCTGGGGCCCAGAGGGTGAGGTCCGTGCCAGTGCGATGGTGCTGGGGCAGAGGACCCCAACACGCGCCATGCTGGGAGGGGAGCAGTCTCTCCTGGCCCGAGGCGAGACCCCGATGAGTTCATGTCTTCTGAGGGGAAGGGAGGAACGCGGTGAACCCTGAGCCCCGAGCGCTGTAATCTGGGAGTCTGCAGCAAGTTTGTGGGCCGCCCCCGGCAGAGGTCAGAGATGAGGAAGGCAGCATGCAGGCTCTCAGTTTTGAAGCTGGGCGCGCGGGTCATGCTGTGGCTTTGCCAGAACAAGGGCTCCAGGCGCTCACGGTTCCCAGCTTCCTCGGGCCTGTGTGACTCACCGCGTGGCCCCATGGCCAGGCCAAACCCACTCCCTTGGGAATCGATTCAGAGTCTGTGTTCTAGGGCCGGGGATTCAGCTCAGTGGTTCCGCCGCCTGCCTCGCAAGCGCAAGGACACGAGTTCGACCCCCAGTGCCGAACAAAAAGAGCCTGTCTGGTTCTGGTTCCTTTCTGCTGTACTCCACAGCAGCCGCCCAGCTCGAAGCAAACAGTGCAGACCCCAGGGCTCAGCCAGGAAGCCGCAGGTGGACGAGGCTGGGCCTCCAGCCGGACTTTCACTTTGCCACTTCCTCACAGCCAGACCTGCTCCCTCTGAGGGGAGCCCCCGGAAGGTCTCCCCTCCTGGGGTGACAGCCACTCTCCTGACTGTCACCTTGCCCGCCTCTAGGAGTGAAAGTCCAAATACAGTCTCTCAATGGCGAACACCTGCACATCCGAGAGTTCCACCGGGTCAAAGTGGGAGACATCGCAACTGGCATCAGCAGCCAGGTGAGACAGCTGCTTTCAGAAGCCTGGAAATGCCACCCTAGGGAGCGGGCATGACCTCCCCTGCCCCTGGCATCCCAGGGCAAGACTGGCAAGGCTGGGGTAGGGTATCATTCTCCAGGCCCTCCCAAGTGGAAGGCAGGGCCTGGGCTGCCCGTTGGCTGGAGGGAGGCACCTCCCAGTGTGCCAGGACCGTGGCCTGACCCCACCTCACACTGCTGAGCCCATCTCCACCCTTGGCTGCTCCACCCCCAGATCCCAGCCACAGCCTTCAGCTTGGTGACCAAAGACGGGCAGCCCGTTCGCTATGACATGGAGGTGCCAGACTCGGGCATCGACCTGCAGTGCATGCTGGCCCCCGACGGCAGCTTTGCCTGGAGCTGGCGGGTGAAGCATGGCCAGCTGGAGAACAGGCCGTAGCCCCGCCCCCCACCGCCGCTCCACTGACGAAGCAGCAGCGTCCTCGGTGCCCAGTGCTGCCCTGCAATGAGCAGCCTGCTTGGGGTCTGCCATCCCCTGGGAGCAAGTGAAATGCCACCCAGGCTTCAGGCCTGAGCCAGCCCGCCCTGCCCTCCGTGTGAGGAAGCAACGACAGGAGGACTACCGCCAAGGGGCCCAGGGCTGGGCGAGCCACAAGGGCCTGCACTCCGCTCACAGGACCGGGGCAGCCCTGGGCCTGGCCTTGGGCTCGTGGGAGCCCCAATCCCTAGCCGAGTTCTGGCCTTCAGCCCCTTTGGGGTGGAGGAGAAAGGAAGGGCTGCCGGCCTGGGAGGGCGCCTTGGTAGAACTGCCACATCAAGAGTTGCAGCAGAGGCTCTGCATCGACCTCCAGTTCAGCCAAGGACCAGAGAAGGTGCAAGGGAAGCAGTTCTCGGTCCCCACGCATGGCACGTGCCCTGCGCTGCTGGCCCCACTGCTGCCCAGACGCAGGGCCCTGTCTGTGAGTGCAGGTGACAGGAGTGGTCTGCAGACGGGGTGCAGTGGGCAGGTGCAGATGCCTGCTCAGCACCAGCGTCCACTCACTGCCCTGCCTGCCCTGGCACGGAGGGCCACTGCCAGCCGCACTTTACACTCTGATGACCTCACAGCACTCTCCTGGCTGCCCACCAGGACGGCGGTGGCCCTGCATGGCACAGCAGGCCACAGTCTGAGCTCGTGTCCCTCCAGGATCCCCCACACTGGAGACGAGCACCCTCCCCTGCTCCCGGGAGCCGCTCAGCACTCGTGTAGCATTAAACCAACTGTGAATCAAGAGACACTTGTCCCATGCCAAGCCAAGCCAAGGTGGCCTCTGTCCAGCTGTTCGCATGCAGCCAGTCTGCTCCAGTGAGCAGCCCTGGCCCATCTGAGGGCCCAGCCCTGCAGTGTGTAGGTTGCAGAGCTATGAGGAATAAAATGTGGGGGTTGACAAGTTCCTCAGCCCAGGCGTCTGGCCTGCCTGAGCCGGTGGTGGGTATTTAGGTCCCCGTGCAGGGAAGGTCAGCCACTCCCAGGGTACCAAGGCCTGCAGGCTTGGCCACAGTGGGGTGCAGGCAATGACCAGCTGCCCCTGAGCGACTGCCCGGGTGTGACAGCTTCCGGGAGCGGGGCCAGGACATAGGGTGCCTCGCGCCCTCTCTCAACCGCCCGTTCCTTGAGGGGTTGGGCAGTGGCCCTGGGCCCAGAGTGCAGACAGAAGCCCCTGGCAGCAGGGTCACAGCAGGGATGTCACTGAGGCGGTGGCCTCACGGGTGCCAGTGCCGCCTCCCAGCCAAAGAGCGCACTGGAGGCCCCGGGGATGCAGCCTCAGCCGGCGTGGGGCACACAGGTAGGGCGCGGGACCATGGTCACCAAGCGCACGCCATGGGAGGCGTCGTCCCCACCCCAGCTAAACTCGGCGTGTGCTCGGGGCCCCTGTGCAGGAGCCCGTGCTCTGTGGCTCGGAAATAACATGGGTTGTCCCAAACTGCAGCTAATCCTGGGAAATCATATCCAGTTGCCCTTGGTGCTTAGTGCTTTCGGGAGCAGCAGTCTCCTCCTGCCATGCTTTCCTTGTGCAAGTGGGCTTGCACCTCTGTGCCAGGTCCCCCCCCAGGCAGGCCTCAGACCGCCCCTGAAATGGCTTTTGCTTGGGACATCTCTCTGAAGGATTTGAGCCAGCATTAAATATGTGTCACGCAGCAACCACCAGAGAACCTCGTGCCTGCCAGTGTTCACAGGGACCCTGTTCACAGGGACCCTACATCAGTTCTGCCACTGACAGGGCGGTGGCTACCAGTCCAGTCCAGACGGTGGACAGCTCAGTTTGTCAGCAGAGGAGACAAGATTTGAGTCAGGTTTTCAGACCCCGAGGCACAGAAGAGCCCTCGAGCTCAGGGCTGGAGAGCAGGACTCCAAGAGATGGAAGAAGGCAGAGCCAGGACATGCAGCACCTCTGAGGCCCCCGAGCTGCCTGGCCAGAGACAGGGGGAGGGGCCCCGGTCCTGGGGCTGTGGCTGCCCTGGTCTGGCTGGAGGCTGGGCTGCTTCGGGCAGCACAGTGATCAGCATCAGGGTTCGGAGCCAGGCAGTCCTGCTCTAGGGGCAGCAACTGCTTTCTGAGGGGAGTCGGGGCCTACAGTGCCCAGAGCGGAAGGAGGCCTAGCTCTGGGTGGACAGAGAAGCGGGCTGGTGCCACAGGAGGCGTCCAAGGTCAGCATCAGAGGTGGAAGGTCAGAGGCTGCAGACGAGGAGGCATGGACACGGCTTCCTGGCAAAGGGAAAGGACACAGGCTGAGCTGGGGAGTGGGGGGGTCCAGAGATGAGCGACCGGCAAGGGAGACGCGTGGCACGCAGAGCCGGGTTGCCCTGCCACAGTCCTAATGAACAGGGTGTAAATGAGGTGAGATGCCGCACACCTAGCACTCTGGCAGGCTGAAGCAGGAGGACTGCAAGTTCAAGCCCAGCCTGGGCAACTTACTGAGACCCTGCCTCAAAATTTTAAAAATGGTAAAGAAATCTAGGGTAAACCACAGGGTTTGGCAGAATAAGAAAAATAAGAATTTTGTTTCTCTGCAAAGACATTTGCTGAGCATCCACCTTGGGCCAGATGCCCTGCTGGAGACAGATGCAAGGGAGCCACCCACACGTGCCCCAGGGGTTAGGGTTAGGGGTCCCCACATGAGCAGCCCTCACTCAGTGTGGTGGGTGGGAACCCAGAAACCCCCATCATCAGAATGGGACTCCAGGAGCATGGGGGGGGCAGCACACGCCCCCAAGGCTTCGCATTTGGAGCATAGCCGATTCCAGTCCCTTTGAGGAAAAATGTACAGGCAGCGGCCAGAGCTGAGGATGGGGGGAATAGGAAGCGGAGCCCTGAAGGCAGTGTGGGCAGGGCTGGCTTTGCTCGCGGCCTTATTGTGAGCCCCACTGAGTGCCTGGCCGGAGCTGAGGCTCGGCGCTTCTTCCAGCCTCATCAGAGAACACAGGCCACAGCTCAAGAGCACGGAACAGCTCATTTGGTGACGGAAACCAAGGGTCCCCACAGACAGCCCCCGCTACTCACTGAGCAGCACTCTGCCCCTCTGTGAGCTCCGGCAAGCTCCCGGGTGGCCTAGGTGTGAGCACTGTCACCAGGAACCTCACCCTTATAAGCTGAATGCACTTAGATTTCTATTTTCCAACTTTCAACGCTGAGGCCGTGCTTGAGCGCCCCTGCCTTTCTACCTCTCTCCAGCTTTCCTGCTTGCTTTCTACCTCCCCCAAATTCTAGCCCATATTTTTATTTTTTAAATATCAAGGTTGGTAACATTTACATTGTCCTATGTATCAACCATGTTTCCAAGTATTGTTTACATGTGGACTGTAAAAATTGACAGTTAATGTAGAGGTTTTAAGTTATTGTGACTGTTGTTCACTGCAGAGGCCAGGGAGCTGCTGCAGTTGCTTTTTCTTTCCTATGCAGCTTTTTGGTTTTCCTGGGACTTCTGATTGCCTTTTTTCCTACACCTTTTGGTTTCATCATAGTGCTTCTTCAAGCGTTTCTTCTAGTCAAGTATTCTATCATATTTTCTTGTTTCAGACCACTGCCTGAACCCTCCGCTCTCCTGCCCCAAGTCCGACCTGGCTGTCGGCCTCTGTGCAGTTCACATGTGGGAGGGGCCCTTGCTGGGATGAAGGAGCCACTGTCTTCCTGGTTCCCCTGGTCACACATTCATTTTGCTTCAACACATCCTCAAGTAATTTCTTAAAGAAAGAGAAGTAAATTTTCTCTGACTTTCCATGTTTGAAGTGATAGTTTGGCTAGATATAAAATTCTGAGGTAAAAACTATTTTTCTCAGAATTTTATTTTGTTGTTGTTGTTGTTTTATTTGGTACCGGGGATCGAACTCAGGTCCTGGAGCTTGCGGAGCAGGCGGCGAGACCACTGAGCTAAATCCCAGGCCTGTTTCTCAGAATCTTAAAGGCACTCAATTGTTGCTAATTCTTCTGCCAGTATGATTTTCCTCCCCTTGTAGGTCACTGGGTTTTCCTTTTCTGAAACATTTGGGACTTCTTTGTTCCTGATGTAATGGACTTTTCAAGCAAGGGTCTTATGATATCTATGGTGTTCTTTTTTTTTTTTTTTTTTTGCGTGACAAAGTCTTTACTTTTACTAGTAAATGATTATCAATACACCAAATAATAAGTAACAAGTTCTTAAGTCCTATCATCTAGTAAATTTTTTTGTTTTGTTTTGGTTTGAGACAAGGTCTCACTAATGGTCCAAGCAGGCCCAGATCTAACTATGTAGCCCAGGCCAACCTCAAACTTGTGATCCTCCTGCCTCAGCCTCCCGAGTGCTGGGATTATAGGCGTGCACCACCACACCTGGCTCATCTAGTAATTTTGGTTAAGATAAGCTAAGCGCAGCCCAAGCAAGTATACTAGTATTAGCTGTTCTAATCCTTCCTCAAAATATACTACTTTAAGGCTGGCTGCTGCATAATACAAGTTACAAATAACTATTTACTACTTTTTCATAGATAAAGCCCCTGACCTTTAAGAAAGTGTAAGGGAAAAAAGTTATTTAATCCCTTGCTTTCTTTAAAGAACTGTTTTTTCTTTTTCTTACTAAATCTAAGAATGAAAAAGTCAACACTTATATACATGGTGCTTCAGCTAAAAGGTATAAGAAAACAGACAACATATACTCATTAAATTTCTAAGAAATACAAGGTAAAAAGATGAAATCTTTGGAGAAAGTACAAAGTTTGTCCAAAGAAGCTAGATATGCTACTCTCCAAAAAGTGAAGGGAACTATTTATTACACAACATAAGAAATAATTTAATGCATTTCTTAAGAACAGAAATCGACTTTGCTAAAGCTTCATATTCCATGAGAGCATCTACGATGCTAATCCACAGAACAGGTGTTTCTTTCTTCTATCCATTGATGCGGTAGTTTTCATGGATTTCTGGCTGGATGTCACAGACAAAAGCAAGGAGGTTATCCAGGACTTCTCTGTTCTTCTGGAAGTAGGTCTGGAGGATGGCCATCTTCTCCTGGGTTTCCTTCTCCACTTCACTGCTGCAGCTGCCCTGCGATCCTAAGGCCGCAGCTTCTTCGGCCTTGAACTCTTTTTCCCTCTGCAGGCGGTACTGTTCGATCTCAGCCTGAGCTTCTTCTTTGGCCTGCTTCATCCTCCGGTTCTTTCGCTTGCGGGCCTCGGACACCTTCTCCGTGGCCCGCTTCTCGGCCTGCAGCAGCTGCTGGATTCCTGCGACTGGCTGGCCATAGCTGCTGCCCATCTATGGTGTTCTTAATAAGGTCTTTTAAGGAAATGACATCCTTCAGCTCAGGAAAATTCTTTTTTCTTCTCCATGTTCTCTATTCTCTCTGGATCTTTTAGAATTGAGAACTGGATCTCCTATTGGTCCTTGCCTTTTGCATTATCTTGATATTTTGGCTCCACTTCTGGGAATATTCTCTGTGCTTTATTTTCCAATTCTATTTGTCAAAAGCTCTTCTTTTCTGTAATGCCTTTTTCATAGAGGCTGGGCCCCCTTGGGCCATGACTGCCATGACCTCTGAGTGCTTGGATGGCTGAACTTAGGGATAACTTCCCTAGGCTCCCCTAAATGCACAGGGAATCCAGGAACTCTCTTCCCAGTCGAAAGTTTTAAAGTTTTGCACCCTTGAACCTGCAAGGTGTGGGGTCTTGCTAATTTCCAAGATGCCCTCCATGACCCCTTTCATGGTACCATGTTCTGTTTTGTCTCTTTCTCCTCACGCCTCACAACCACACCCTAAAGGAGAGCAGACTTATTTGGGCTCACAATTGCAGTGGATTTGGTCCACGGCCAGCCGACTCCCAAGGCAGAACGGAATGGCAGAGGAGAGCTCCTCATTCATGGTGGCCCCAAAGCAGAGAGAGATGGGCGGGACCAGGGTCAGAATGCATCCTTCCCAGTCGTGTTCTCAGTGGCCTGCCCCTTCTGGCCTGGCCCCACCTCTAGACGTGAGACTTTTAGGGACCATTGTAGATCTAAACATAACAAGGCTAGTTCTTTATGATCAATAAAACTGGTAGATCCCTTGCCAAAAATATAAAAAGGACAAAAGTCATCAGGAACAAAATGGATATTATCGCTATAGATTTTGCAAATATGAAATGGATAATAAGGAAACACTATGAACAACTTTTGTCAATAAATTTGACAATTTATATAAAATGGACCAATTCCTTAAAAGATACAAATTCCAAAAGCTCACTCAATAGAGCAATTCTTTCTGGGCGTGGTGGTGCACACCGGTCATCCCAGCACTCAGGAGGCTGAGGCAAGAGGATCGCTGTGAGTTCAAGGCCAGCCTGGGCTCCATGGTGAGTTTGAGGCCGGCCTGAACTGCATAGTGAGACCCTGTGTCAAAAAACAGAACAAAACAACAAAAAAAGAGTAGAGCGATTCTGGAGATGGATGGTGCTGATGGGTGTGCAGCAGTGTGAATGGACTCACTTCCCCAACTGCACACTTACGAATGGTTCCGAGGGATGGAGTACAGCTCAGTGGTAGAGCACGGCGGAGGACACACAAGGTCCTGTGCTGAACCTCCCACACTTAAGTAAATAAAAGGAGAAAGAGGTTAAAAATTGTCACCTTTGTGTTATATATATTTTACCACTCTAAAAAAGAATACCCAAAACAGCCCTGTATCTAGATTTTTGGGGGTGGATCTTGATCGGTGGTAGGTATTGAGCCTAGAATCTTCACCCTGAGCTAGACTCCAAGCCCTTCATATTCTTTTTATTTTGAGACTGAGTCTCACCAAGTTGCCCAGGAGGGGCTCAGACTTGCCACCCTCTGCCTCAGCCTCACAAAGTGCTGGGGTGACACGTGCTACACATGCCTGACTGTACCTAGCTCTTAAATTTAGATACGTAATTGAAAATGTTCCCACTCCAAGCCCAAGTTCATAACCTTCACTTGTGAATTCTACCACCATTAAGAAAATTACATAATTGAAGAAAGAATACTTTCAAGTCATTCTATGAAACCAGAATTACTCATATCAATATCTGAAAAACTCATTACAAGAAAAGAAAACTAGACACCAATAGACCTCATAAATATTTATGCAAAAATTCCAAAAAAGTTAGCCAAGCCTGGTGTGGGGTACATGCCTGTCACCCAGCACTCTGGGAGGGTTGGGACAAGAGGATCGCAAGTTTGAGCCCAGCCTGGGTAATTCAGCAAGTTAGCAAGGCCCTATCTCCAAAGAATTTTTGTTTTTTGTACTGGGGATCGAATTCGGGACCTTGCGCTTGTGAGGCAGGCAGCAGAACCACTGAGCTAAATCCCCGGCCCTCAACTAATTTTTTAAAGGGACTGGGAACATAGCTCAGTGTTATGGCCCCAGGTTCAATCCTCAGTACCCACCCCCAATAAAAGGTTGACCAATCAGATTCCACAGTATAAAAAGGGATATCTGGTTTGTCCCCAGTAAAGCAAGATTGATTTAACATTAAGAAAATCCATTTAGCCAGGTGCATGCCTGTAATCCTAGCACTTGGAAAGCTGAGGCAGGAGGATCCCTGAAAGTTCAAGGCCAGCCTGGGCTACATAGCAAGACCCTGTCTCAAAAAAAAAAAAATCCCTTTATTTCACCTTGAACAAAATATTAGCAGACTATAAAGGAATTATTAGCAGACTAATATAGCACCACCCATACATTAATGTATTATAACATATATGACAGATGCAATATTTAACAAAATATTTTTAAAACGTGATTATCTCAATAAATGAAGAAAAAAAAAAGGTACCGGACAAAATCCAACATCCCTAGATAAAACCTAAGCGAACATTCTACCAACATTCTTTCCCCCCAGGAAAGAATTTCCTAAGCCTGATTAAGGGCATCTATAAAAACAAAAACAAACCCTACAGCTAGCGTCATGCTTAATGGTGAAATGCTGACCCTCGTCCCCAGAGCCCGGATGCCCACTCCCTTCTAGTCACCATTGAGGGGCGGCGGTTCCCAGTGCGGTAAAGCGAGAGAGCAGAGGCATCCAGACGAGCTGCTCTGTGTCGGTGCTGTGGGAGTATGCATTCCTCTAAAAGCCACTAGAGCCAGGCCCAGCGGTACACACTGTAAGCAGCTACTCAGGAGGCTGCGGCAGGAGGATTGCAGATTTGAGACCAGCCTAAGCAACTGAACTAGACACTCTCAAAACAACAGAGGACTGGGGATGTATCTCCACACTACCCCCCAAAAAGGCTTCTAGAACTAGTAATATTTTAGCATGGTTGTGAGATACAAGATTAATCTATTTCTACATACTTGCAACTGGAAATTGGAATCATTTCAGATATCACAGAGTGTCACTCGAATCCACATTAGACCTCTCCTAAGTCAGGTGCAGTCATGTCCCAGGTCGAGTCAGCCTCAGGTTTTTCTTCCAGCCCTGAAGGCTGCTATGAGGCTCTCGCTGGAATCATTCTCTCCAGTTGTACCCAGCTGCGGCCAGTGGAAGGGCTGAGATGAGGTGATCAGACTGGGAAGGAGGCTGCCGTCAGAGGCTGGGAGCGGCAGTGCTGGGGCCTTGGCGGCTGGAGACCGGGAAGTCGGTGGGCACGCAGGGTACGGTGCCGCGCTGGGCTCACCCCTCGCCCATCCAAGATCCAGGTCCGCCGCAGCAGCACCAGGACCCGCCGAGCAAGGAAGGAGCAGCCCACTCCAGGGCTGGCAGCTCTCCGAAGAGGCTCCGGCACCCTGGGTGCCTCCGACCGACTCCTCCTCCACACCCCACTCTCTCGGATCTCGGACTCAGCTTGCACGGCTGCCACAACTGCTCCGCCACGGTGCCCTGTCCACCACCCTCGGAGCAGAGGACGGGCCGCCTGGCGCCGCCACAGGGGATAGGGAGCAGCTTCGTGCCGGAGGGAGAGACGCGAGGCTCAGCGCGGGGCCGCCGGGCGTGCGCTCCGATCCAGCGTGGAGCTGCAGCTGCAGCTGGAGCGGGACCTCGGCCGACTCGGAACGGAGGCTGGAGGCTGCGCGCAGACGGGAGGGAGGCGGGGTGAGGAAGACCCCGCGGGCTCTGACGTGACAGAGTCCTCCCTGGGCGCCGGGGCCGGGGTCTGCAGCGTCGGTCGGGCTGGGCTGCGGAAGCCTCCATCACAGGCGGGAGGGCTATGGAGCCAGCCTGGGCGCGGCGGCCAGGCATCCAGAGAGCCGGCCTGGGCCCAGACGGCGCGCAGGCGGGGCGGCGGTGGGACCAGGCCTGGAGACGCCGAGGGCAGAGCGAGGCCCGAGGCAGCCGGGCCCTGCAGAAGCCGTGCCTCGCCGCCTTCCCCACCAGGTGGCGGCAGGCTCCCCTGCTGCGGCCAGGGGGCGGTGCAGAGCCTGGAGCCCCCGCGAGAACGAACCCTCCCCGCAGGACCGCCCGGAACCTGCGCCCTACACCCTACACCTAGGGCCTCCCCCGCCTGGCCCATTTCCGGATCCCCCGGCCCCACGCTGTGTGTGACGTCACCCCTCTGCCCGTCTGACCTGCCCAGCGGGGAGGAGGGGTGGGGTTCCGGCACAGCAGAGGCCTGAGTGGGGACCACTGTCTGACGTGGGTGGGGGCACCTGGGAGGAGCGCTGAGGTCCCGGGCCTCAGCTCTGCCCGGAATCCGCTGGGCAGGACGGGAAGAGCTGCCCGGCTCTGAGCAGGGTCCTGAGCTCTGCGAGGCTCAACCACGGGCGGGTTCCACGAAGGGAAGAGAGAAGGAAACGCCCCAGGGCTCCTGCGGAAGTGGGGAGCCAGACCATCTCGCCAGCCCTCCAGGAGGGGGGACCCCTGCCCTGAAGCCACTGCCCTGTGGACTCCTGCACCCACCTTGACTCCTCTATCTCAGGATCGACTTCGCCCACTGCCACTTCCACCCCCAGGCAGCACAAGAGGAAGGCAAGACTGAGAGGAGCGGGGGTCACCTCCCCTGGGGCGGTGGCAGGCGCGGGGGAGCCCTACACCAGGCCAGTGTGGACCCCTGCCTGCGACAGCTCCCGGAGAGGGTCCCCAAGGGCATGAGTGGGAGGGGTGTGGACAGCGTTTAGCGGAAACCTTTCAGCTGCAGACAGGGTTGCTAGCTAGGGAGCCAGACCCAGGCTCGGTCCCCGAGCTGCAGAGCCTGGAGATGGAGCCATCACCACGCCCAGTTCTCCAGCCCGAGCCCACGCCCGTCAAGGGCCCAGGCTGGAAAGTGACCACTCTGGTGCTGTGCGTAGAGACTCCAGGCAGCCGGAGACCCACAGACACCAATCAGCGTGTCAGGGAGGAGCCCCTTGTCCACCAGGAGCTGCCCCATCCAGACCTGCAAGCACCTGTTCTGGGCTGACAAGCCAGGGACACCTGAGTCTGAAGATAGTCCTTCCTGTCCCTCTGTGGGAAAGGCCTGACAGGGGAGGACAGTGTTCTGGGCTTGAAGGAGGGAACTGTGATCTGGGGACTGGTCCTTCAAGGAAGCACACAGCCTTGAGCCAGAGGCACCCAAAATGCAGGGAAGAAGCTCAGGCATGGTGCCACATACCTGTCATTCCAGCTATCTGGGAGGCTGAGGCAGGAAGACCACAAGTTCAAGGCCAACCTGGGCAGCTTAATGAGACCTGTTCGCAAAATAAAAAGGGCTGCAGGGCCGGGGATGTACCTCAGCGGCGCCTCACCTGCCTTGCAAGCATAAGGTCCTAAGTGCGATCCCTGGTACTGAAACAAAGGGGGGTGGGGATGCTGCTCAGTCCAAGGTCCTGGGTTCAGTCTCTGCAACCACGGGGAGCCCATGTGTAATGGGGCATGCTCTCCTGGAAGCCACTCACGCACACTGTCAGCTTAGCCTTCACACAGTGCATCCACACACACAGGAAGCACACTGCACACACGCCAGGCACCCGTGTGCCCACCGGAATCACATGCATAAGGTGTGCAAATACTCAGCCTGCTCTGGAGCCGGGGCAAGGTGGCATGGAGCAGTGTCCCCCGAGGTGGGCAGGGTGTGCCCTGTGGGAGGGGGACAGGCCAGGCCGCCTGGCCCTCATGTACCTCTGACCAACTGCGTGCCTCGGGCCCCAGCTCCATTCATCTCGCGACCCTGGAAGGGGCACAGGAGACGCCAGGTGCCAGGAAGCGGGGTTCAAAGGAGGTGCAGGTGGAAGGGAGCGAGCAGGAGGCTGGAGGGCACCAGGAGGAGAGGCATGGCGTCCTGGGAGGGCTGGCCCAAGATGCTGGGGTCTCTGGACTGTCTGTCTGGATTGGGTGTTGTTTAGGGTTAGGGCAGTGTTAGGTCCACAGCAAAACTGAGCTGGAAATGCAAAGTTCCCCAGCTCCCTGTCCTGCCCACACAGCCACCCTGCTGGCCTCCTGCCCCAGAGCCAGTGGCTGCCCCTGGCCGTCTCCAGCCCCAGGTCCAGCTTCCTGTGGGCTCAGACAAGTGTGGTGACAGGCACCTGCCACTGCCGTCCTGGCCATCCTTCCATGCCCCAGACCCTCTACTCTGGCTTTGCTTTTCCAAAGTGAGCTGTTAGGATTGGCTCCTTTGGCTTGGGAGCAGTCAGTTCAGTCTCCCCAGGCTGTTTCGGGGTGGGGTAGCTCACCACTGCTTGGCCCTGAATTCCACTCTATTACCCACATCTACCATGGTTCGCTTATGCGTTCACCCACTGAAATTACCCCAGTTGCTCCAAGTTCTGGTGAACTAAGAGTAAAAGTAAACACCGGGTACAGTTTCTGTGCGGACTCACATCTTTTGATCATTTGGGTGAATATCAAGAAGTGCAGTTGCTGGACAGAGCGACTGGTGAGCGAAGGTGTTTGGATGGGGATATATGGACAGGATGGAAAAGAGGAAAGAATGAATTCCCAGCCAGCCCGCAGGCAGGCAGAAGGGCTCGCTGCACTCCGCGAGCACGCCTGACGCTGTCGGAGCCCGCGGAATGGTCACCTTGCACATGACCAGCAGCACTCAGCACCCGCCTCCGCCGGGCCCACAGGGCTTGGAGCACCCAGTTGCTCTTGGGACTGGGTCCCGGCCCCGAGTTGGGGTTTCGGGGCAGATCCCTGGGTCGCACATCAACTCACCTTGCTGTGGCCACTCTACTGTCAGCCTCCAGATGCAAAAGCCGTGGACACATGCAGCCGGAAGTGCCCTGCACACCACAGGCTTCCTTCTGGCCGGTCCACTGGAGGTGGTGAGGCCCTTTGACGGCAGACTGGGTGCCAGGTGCCCACCCCTGCCCATGTGCCCTCTCCCACCTCCAGGCCCTCTCCTGATGCCGAGAGCCATGGTGCTTTTTTGCCCACCATGCTGGATGGAACCCAGGGCCTCACAGGAGGCAAGGGCTCCCCACTGCACAGGCTCCTCTACCCTTATTTTTCTTCCTTATTATTTCTTGCGAGCTCTGAGTTGCCCAGTCTGGCCTGGATCTTGCAATCCTCCTGCCTCATCCTTCCCAGTACCTACAATGATAGGTGTCCTTTTCTTTTTAAAGGTCCCTCTTCCAGGAGGCCTGCCCTGACCAACACCCCTATCTCATGGCCCCTGAATGCTGCTGCTGAGTGCATCCTCCTCCTGGATGAGACTCCCCCACAGGAAGGCCCCCTAGGCAGCCAAAGGTTCCGCAATGCTGCATGCTCCTAAGATGTGTGCAGGGCAGCCTTCCTTCTGGGCGAGTCACTCAGAGCACCCTCCTCTGGATCGCCCCAGGCGACAGAGTCCTCCTCCACGGTAGATGCTTCCTGGGTGCCCCACTGTGGGTGTGATGGGAGGGCTGGTGCAGGAGAGGTGTCCCCAGCATGTCTGTGACCCACAGCCTGCAGACCCTGTCCTTACTGTCCAAGCTGCTGCGGGGCTGGGTTTGTGTCCTTCACATAGCGGGGGGTGGGCGGCCCAACTGTCCCCAGCTCCCCGGAAGGGTGCGGGCAGAGCCCACTCCACGCAGGGAACCCAACGCCCTGCAGACCACAGCCCTGTGTTCTGGGCCGCTGTCCTGAGCCCAAGGCCAAGCAAGAGGGCTCCTATCCTGCGTGGGTTCACGAGAGGGAGAAGAGACCGGCAGGAGGCCCAGCCTCCTCCAAGCTGTGGCTCTGGAGCGGGCACTGAGGTGGGCGAGGGCGGGTCCAGGAGGTGGGCTGGGTTTCCTCCGGGCACCGAGGACAGGGACTCTGACAGGAGCCAGGCAGATGGCGCAGAGGCGGCCCCACAGACGGGGCACCACCAGCGGGCGGTGGGCGAAGAGTGGGAGCAGAACCAAGGAAATGGGACAGAGCCTCGCAGAGGGAGGCGGCCAGGGAGCTGGGCAGGAGCAGGGCTGACCTCTGCTCCACACCCCACCTGGGGGACCCTCAGAGGAACACACGGACAGAGGAGGGCCAGGCAGGTGCAGACCTGGGTATTATGCAAACACCTTTATTAATCTCTTATAAAAATAAGGTTCAGGGAGAGTCCTGGGGTCAGGGGCCCAGGCCGGCAACATGGCCTTGAAAGTCACAGGCCAGGCTCCTGCTGAGTATGGCTGTCTCAGGGCTGAGATGCTTGAGCAGCGTTTGAGGTTACAGCCGTCCTCAAGCCCCCAGCCCTCAGCATCTACCTGCAACCGGGCATCTACAGGGCGAGGTCAGCGGTGACTTGCAGGGGCGGAACCGGGGGACGACGGCGAGCACTGCGTCGACCCGTGTCCGCACGGATGTAGGGCTGATTCCGTAGATCTGGAGTGGAGCAAGGAGGGGCTCAGGAGCTGCCCAGGCCAGGCCAGGGTCCCTGCAGGACCGGGCTGCATGCTCTGGAGAGGGCGCTGCACGTTGGCCAACCCGTGTGTCTGGCACACGCTGGCCAGGACAGGCTCGGGCTCTGCTCCCAGGCCACCAGGTACCTGGGCTACAGGGGCAGCTCCTCCCCAAGGCTGGCCTCACAGAGGAGCCGGGACGTCCGCTTGCCCGTGCGGGCCGTGAAGGGCGCTGTCTTGAGCACTGAGGCATGAGGCACAGACAGAAAAAAGGACAGAAGAACAGACGGTAGCAGGAGGCAGTGAGGCCAGCAAAGCCTGCAGAGGGGAGCGCAGCACAGCCCTGGGCGCTGCCCGTGCCACCTGGCCCACCTGTGATGATGTCCTCGATGGCACCGTCACGGTCACTCTCGTAGACGAGCGGCTCCTTCTGCTGCTTCCGCTTCAGCTCTGAAATGAGGTCCATCTGCTGGCGCCGCGCCCTGGGTGGAGACTGGGGGCCTCCAGGGTCAGGACCGACACCTCTTCCAGTCCCCATCCCTCCCCGACCCCACAGAACAGTGAGGGGTGCCACACCCCGGCCCAGGCCCACCTTGGGCACAGGGGCCTCTCCCCGGCCTGGGGTGTCCAGCCCCGCCTCCTGTGCAGCCGCTGCTTTCTTCCACTGCTCCACCTCCTGCTCTGCTTTCTAGGGCCAGAGCCATGGGGTGAGGGTGGCCCCTGCTGCCCCTCCAGGGACCTGCAGGGCCCCAGCCATCCTCAGCCCTCTGCACACCTTGTAGGCTTTGGTGAAGCGGCTGAAGAGGCAGAAGAACACGGCGGGGGGCGTGGTCTTGGGGTTCTCTCCGAAGTACTCCACCACGGAGTCATAGGCCTCCTGCAAGCCCGGCTGTCACCACCAGCCAAGAGCCTCCAGCCCTGGGCTGTGGCCTCAGCCCACCCTGCCCCTGCGCCCGGCCTCCCACCTGTGCCGTCCTGCTGTCAGCCAGCAGCTTATCCATGGTGGGCGAGTTGGCCCTCAGGAACTCCTTGAGCACCGTGCAGTCATCCTGCCGCACAAACTCCCGCTGCGCCACCTCCAGGCCCCGCTGCAGGCTGCGCACATCAGCTAGGACGCTGTCCAGGGACACTGAGGGGCAGCGTGCAGTCGGATCCGCTCCTGCCCACTGCACCCCAGGCTTCCCTGTTTCTCCCAATCCATGCCACCCAGGGCCCAGGACCCAGCCCCCACCCACCAAGGACCTGGGTTCTACTACCTGTGCCCGCCTTGTCCAGGAAGTGCAGGTCGCTGTGGAAGCAGGACAGCTGCGGGTACTTCTCGCCAATGACCTTCACCAGGTAATGCAGCAGTGTCTGCTTGCGATCCGTGGACTTCATCTCCAGCAACTGTGCAGGGGCCTTCGTCAGCCACCGGCCAGGGCCGGCCCCCTTCCCGGGCCAGGCCCCTCCTTACCGTGTCCAGGCTCTGCAGCCGGAAGCCATAGGCTGCCCCTCGCTTGCTGCTGTTCATGTAGTTACCAAAGGCCAGGACGATCTGCGAGGGCCAGGGTAAGACTCAGCAGGGAACCAGGGCTGGGGGAGCCTCCGAAGTGCACACTGCACAGGAGCAACAAGCCCTGCACACTCAACCCCACTGTGCTCAGAGCTGACCCCTGACACGCGTCCAGGATCCCATGCGTGCAGGGCAACGTCGTGGCACATCTGGTTTTGTCCTGTGCTGGTCCAAACCAGAACTAACATTCCCTCCCAGGCCATGAGGTCGCTGCCTTGGAACAGCAGTCTCTATCCAGGCGTGGCGGGGCACACCTGTAATCCCAGCGCCTGGGAGGCGGAGGCAGGAGGATGGCCAGTTAGAGCCCAGCCTGAGCAGTTTAGCAGTTTAGCGAGACATGGTCTCAGAAGAAAAACTTTTAAAAGGGGCTGAGGAGGCAGTTCAGGCTCAGAAGCCCCATGTTCCATCTCCAATCAACAAAATGAGGACCTGCACCGTCCCGGGACCTCCCGGACAGCACCCCGAGGCGCCTCCTCAGCAGTGGGAGCCTTCTCTCTACTGCACCCTGGCTGATGGGGCCTGGTCCCTGTCACTCCCAGGACGGGCACAATGGCCACAGCCTGACCCCTTGCGGGCGCTCACCTCCAGAATCTGGCGTAGTTTGTCGGAGGACTTGATAGACATGGAGGCCGCGATGACAGCGTTCAACTGCTGGAGGAAGGAAGGGGCGGGAAGTGCGTCAGAGCCCCGCTCCCCTGGCGACCCCTCCGCTGCCCCGACACCCACCGGCATGAGCAGCTGGGCCGTGTCCAGGAAGCTGCCCAGGAAGCTGAGCGTGGCCATGCGCTCAGGCAGGCGAGGGATGCGGCTGAAGCGCAGCATGAAGCAGTCTTCCTCCGACAGCTCCTCCAGCGGCCGCCGCTCCCGCTCAAAGCGGGCAATGAGGCTGCGCTCATACTCCGTGGGCAGGAAGCGGGTCAGCAGCTCCAGGAAGTCCAGCCCCAGAGCCTGCAGGTCGTACCTGTGTGGAGAGAGAAGGAGGTGCTGCTCCCGACTGCACCTCTCTGCGGACTAGACAGACGGCGGTTAGCGCTCAGGCGACAGAGGCAGGAGCCCGGCCCTCCAGGTCAGTACCAGATGCCAGCTGTGAACCCTCAGCTAGAGCCGGCCACTGAGCAAGGCAACAGGAGCGGGGACCTCGGGTCTGGAGGGGCCAGCCAGGCCGCACACTCACGTCTCAATGGCCTGGCAGATGCGGTCGGCACCCAGGTTGCCCTTGCGCAGGGTGATGGCCAGGTTCTTGGCCCGGTTGGCCTCAATGAGCGTGGCCTGGCTAGGACCCTTCTGTGTGGCTCTACCCTTAAGGGCGCTGAGGTCCAGGCTAGGACCCTGCGACTTGGTCTTGAACTGCTCCTCGAAGTCACTCATGTCCAGTTCCTGCGCCAAAGATGGGCAGGGCTGGGCTGGCCCTCTCGGCAGTGCACCGTGCTTGCAGCCAGAGCCACCAGCCTGCCCCTGACAGCACCAGCAGAGACAAACCAGCAAAGCCCAGGACCCTCCCAGAGTGAGCAGGAAAAGCCTGAGGGACCACAGGAGCCGGAGGACCCAGCCCAGCTTCCGCCCTCTCCGCCTCCGGAGAGCTGATGGGGCCAGCGGAGGGGGCAGGGAGCTGAGGCCCGAGCCCTGGCACCCACACCTGGGACTCACACCCGCCCGGTCCCGCCTCTCACCTGCAGCACCTTCTCGTCGTCAAGCTCAGTGAAGACGGTGCCGGAGATCTGGCTGGGGTTCAGAGCCACCCAGTTCAGCAGCGGCATCCGGAACTTGGTCTGCACGGGCTTCCTGGCCTTCACGCCTGGGCAGGGGCGGTCAGCGTGGGGGGACTGAGGGGGGGGCCGGGGGGCCGGGGGAGCGGGGACCCGCGGAGTCTGCTCCACTCACCCAGGCCGGTCTCTGCACCCGGCCCACCCGGGGCGTCCGGGAGGCTTCCAGGAGGCGGTGGCGGCGGCGGCACCAGCCCCTCGGTCACGGGAGGGGGCGGGGGCGGCGGCGGCGGCGGGGGCGGCGGCGGCACCAGCCCCTCGGTCACGGGAGGGGGCAGAGGCGGCGCGGGCGGGGGCTCCGGGCCTCCCGGGAGAGGCGGCGCTTCCGGCGGGGGAGGGGGTCCGGGTGGCGGCAGCGGCAGCGGCGGGGTCCGCGCTGCTCCTGGCGACGACTCTGCGGGGCGCCGGGCGTCAACTTCCTGCACCTGCGCGGCTGCTGGAGCCACCCCGCTCCCGCCGGAGACGCCCCCAGGCCCCTCCCAGGTCCGAGCTCCTCAGACGCCCCTAGCGCCCCTCCCGGGTCCTGACCCCCCAAAAGACGCCCCATGCCCGCTCCTGGGCCCCGAAGCCCCCAGGTCTCCTCCTGGGACCGGACCCCTCCCTCCCCAGGTCTCTCGGGTGCCGAAACTCCCGGGTCCCCACGTCCGTCCCGTCCAGGGTCTCCCAGACGCCCAGCCCTGGCAGCGCCTGCGCACCTGGGCGGGGGGGCCCGGCCGGCGCCCCGAGAGTTGCAGCAACCTGCAGAAGCCCCTGCGCCTCCAGCTCCCCCAGCTTCAGCTCCAGCGCCGAAGGCGCGTGCGCGGGGAGCGCCTCGCCCACCCGCTCCTGCGGCGGGACACACGGGTCAGGGCCTCAGCGCAGCGCGGGACGCCCCTCCCTCTCCCCGTCCCGCGGCCCGCCGCGCACCCGCCGCGTCTCCAGCTCCTTGCGCGCCTGGCTCAGCTGCTTCTCCAGCTCGGCGATCTTGGCCATGGACTCGTTCTCCGCGTCCCGCAGCCGCTCCGTCAGCTGCGACACCGGCACAGGGTGAG